TTCGTTCAAAGAACACACATTGGTAGAAGTGATCCATGCAATTCATTGTGTCATTTCTTGCCACTTCCCAATCAATGTTGAGATGTTTTAGTGAGACCATTCGGTCCAAGTGCTTTATCATTTGAGGCCCGATCAACTCTCTATAGCTTCTTAGACGTTATCAAAGCTCAGAAGTTTTCTTAAGCTCTACCTTTTGTTTGTGGCTAATACCTAAGTTGCTCGCGCTCTTCACTTTCGGCCGCACCTGTGTCAGCATGGCACTAATGCTAGTATGGGTGTGAGTGTGGGATCTGTATCAGATCTGGTCAATCTATTTTGGGTACTTTGACCAAAAGCTAGGGAGAAATTCGAGACAAGATACGGTTTGGTTTTTGAAATCAAAACCAAATTTAGGGTAGCTTTGATGTGAGTATTGCCGCCGTTGTGGAAGGCCTTGAATGGATCCTGCAAGAACCAAAGAACCAGTTCTTGCTTCTTTTATTTCTTCTTCTTTTTTAAGGGAGAGGAGTAGAGAACTTCGAATAGGGACTTTGTGAAAAGAAGATCTCTACGACGGGAATTGGGAAAACTGTATGAGTAATAGAGTTCTTAAATGAGGCTTAATGTTGGGGTTTACCTGGTAAAAAATATTGTACCCTTTGATCTCCCATATAAGAAAATCAATGTAGTGAAAGCTTGACACATTTGATGAGTCTTCAAGAGCTTTATTCCTATAAGAATTAGAGTTCCAGTCCAAAAGTATAAAAATCAATTTTCAATTGTGAATGAAAGATAACTGTGCAAAAATTATTTCTTATAATATTGATAAGTCTCAAAATTTAGGCATATTTTTATAATGCTTTTTTTAGATATTTAAATTTTTTTTAGCCAAATACTTGCACATGTATTTGAATCTAGATAAGTACCCCTAGCTCTAAAAATTTAGATCATGAAGGATCCGACCTCAAGATCCACACACATAACACGCACCGGAGTCCGAGCAATTTAGGCTAATACTCTAATTCAACACCTCCGTGACTGGCCTTAAGATTATTTTTCCTGATTTAGTGTTTGTAAATATTGTAGAAATTTTCCCCTAACTTCATTATCCTCAGGAGCTCCTGTCCATTGATTTAAATTTATATATTTTAAAGGAAGCTATATCTCTTACTTTTATGAGCTCTAGGCGTATGCCAGAAGAACTTGACTTTTCCTTTAAAAGTTCAGTGCAATCTCCATTTTCTACCAATTTTTGCGGGAATAGTTTCCAGCATATCTCCCGTGAGTAACATTTTCCTATAAGTATTTTTTTAAAGTTCTTTTCTTTCTAAGCAGTGGGGAATAGAATAACCCGGCTGAAACGTAATGATCTTACGTCTGTAATGCATTTTATGTCTCATAATAGGTCCCATTCTTCTACTCTTTTCTGGAAGTACCTATACACAAAAGCTCAGCGTGCAATTTACATGAATCTATTTTTCATCTTCAAACTAGTGAGTTTCAATAAATCTGTAGCCAGAAAAATAAATTATTTTTTTCCCGAAAGTATTTTCTTTTATTAATTCTGCATTGGAGAAAGGAATTAGTTTTTTTGCCTGATCTTGTCATCACAAGTCTTCCCATTATTCCCGTCTTTCCGTTTCGGATTGTTCAATTCCTTTGAACAAATTTTCAATGTTTGTCTCTACACTTGCAAACAACTTTTTGTACATCTTTAATTCCTCAATGCTCTTAGGCCTTTAGCTTCTTGAAGCTTGGTTCTCCTTCAACAGAATAGCTATCCCTTTACTCTTTAACCATCATTTTGAAGTTTTGTTGCTGTAATGATGTATTTTCGGATCTGAAATATGAAAGCCCTCTGTGTATCCTGTTCTCTAATAAATATGGCCAATTTCAGATATTGGTTTAGGCAACTCAAGAAGCTATCCTATTCGTCCGTGTGAATTTAGGAATCTCTCTTCCCACCTAGTTTTGTATCAAAAGTCTTTCTGGTCTTTCTACTATGGAAACTCTTCTCCTATTCATCCACATGAACTTTTTCCCGGATAAAGGTATAATCACGACTCCACTAGTAAACTGGTAATATAAGAAATCCTCCGTGACCTCCCTGGTAATATAAGAAATCCTCCGTGACCTCCCTGCTAATTTTATTTATCTTTTTATAACGGTGGTAGTGTCCTAGCCATTTTGCTCGCACCTCGACTATCACCATGTACTTGCTAGCTCCTATCAGCACATGTAACAAGTAACGTTACCACTAAAGCTTAATTGGATTGGAAGAATTCAACTAGCATTTTCTCCCTTGATTTTCATTCTACTTTATTTATCGTTTGGTCACACCTAATGTTTTAAAAGGCATTTTCGGGGATAGTCCCGGGATGAGCCTTGGGGTGAGGCGCACAAAAAATGCCACGAGGCGATGGTGGGGTCGAAAGTCTCAGGAGGCATACGCCCAGGCGTTGAGGCACGTTTTTTTTGTAGTGAGGCGTAAGCTCAAGAGACTTTTTCAAATTAAAACAAAATTTGCTGAATAAGTCCTTAAAAATATAATACCCAAATTCTCAAAAGTTAGCTTGTAAGTACTTCAAAGTTTTAAAACGGAACTGAAACATTAAATTTAAAAGTCAAGACCTTTTTTTATTGCTAGAACCCCTAATTTATGGTCTTTTCCAATTCTTTATCTTGTCTGCTAGTTTGCTACTATCTCCCAAAAGCAACGAACAATCGATATTTATTTTTGTTGAGAAAACTCATTTTCCTCCATAGCAACAAGTTCAAAGTTCAAATTGCAGGTTTGTCATCCTTTTTATTATTTCAAGTAGAGAACTTTATTCTTTTCAACTCAAGTTACTTGTGCTTTTAAGTGGCGTATAATGGATTATTTTGACTAGTTTTTTGTGGGGATAGAGTATATCTATATATTTTTTTCACTTATTTATAGTTTTCTCAATTTTTATGCAATTTTACCTATTTAAGAACATTTATTGTAAATACCTATGGGGCCTACGCCCCGTGCCACGGGGCTTACGCCTCGCCTTACGCCCATGCCTTTTAAAATACTGGTCACATCCTTCGTTGCCCTCCTTGAACATTCTATCAGAGTGCAATTGTTCGTCGATGCAATTGCATTAAAATTTCCTGTCTCTAGCTTATGAGGGACCTGCCTAATATAGTAACTGTTTCCTAATGGCGTCTCATGGAAGTGAGTGATTGAGGTTAAAATATTTATCAAGGGCCTGGAGAGGTGAAACTTATGGCACCACAACTAAATAACTATTCCTTCTGCTCCAAAATAGACCCAAAAGAAAATCATAGATTTGCATGTATCAGCAAAAACTTCCATTATCTGTTAGTGGAAATTAGAGTTGTAATATGTTTGCTTCTTGTGGACTGCTAAAGTGGAGGAAGTTTCTGCTCTCATTTTCCCTAAAAGAACAGTAAAATGGATTTCATACGGTTTCTAGAAGGGTAAAGGAAACTAAGCATAACTTATAATTGTATTTGATATAGACTACGCCCTTCTAACCTTGATTGATGTCAAGGTAACAGGAAGCAGAATAAGATGACTGTCTATGTTCAAGGCTAGATATAAAGTTGCTTGAAAGGCATTTAAGATGGCACTTTTTCCACAGAAGGTGGAACAAACTTGACTATTTTGTCCTCCTAATGGCAATCTATTTTTTAGTGTGGCTACTTTTTGCTCCGCCACTTGGGACTATTTTTTTGGTTCTGCCAAAGTAAGAGATAATAATTTGCTCATTCGCAATTTTAGTTAAGTCTTCACTAGTTTCTCGTTGTCTTTTGACGCATTTTATGCATTTCCATTTTGGTTCACTCATTGGTTCAATACATGGAGTAGGTTTTGATTTTTGGGCATTTACGAGATTGTTTCTTACCAAGTAAAAGGTGAGCCAACGTGCTTATTTTTAGGAAGCGAAGTGTGCAGGATATGACGACAGAAATACAACTATTGCTTGCAATTCTTTAGAGTGCTAGGAAAACTAACCTTTTGTCAGCTATATAACCTCTTTTCTTTAGTGGTTGTCTTTTTTTTTNAAGTGAACGTTATATTGTGCTCACAAGTTTATTATGGCGTCCTCGATTTTCTTTTGCCGACAATGGGGCACATCATAGTTTCCATGCTTGAAACTTTATATCCTATAATGCACTAATTATAATTTGTTTTATGCAGTATATTTTTGTGCTATGCCTATGCCAGCTGCCAATCCTTTGCAGTTTTGTAACAGACGTTGAACTGGACTTACTGTTCTGATCTTCATGGTCGTTTTTCATTGAAGTACTCCATGTCCATAATGTTATTTTGCCTAACTGGACTGATAGCAAATCACTTTCTTTACATTAGTTTATTATCTTTGTGTCATGGTGGTTTGATCTTGTAATTCTGGCTTAACTGGGAAAAAAACTGGTAAGGCAATCATTCTTTGTTTAGTTCGTCGTCAAGTCTGCTTTAGTGGATTTTGCTTTTCAAGTCTTCGTGTTTGTTGAATGGACATTTGAAACCTCAAGTTGCTTTGGTGTAGTTGCATGCCGGAGAGTTGTTCCATTTTGTGGCAAACATAGATAACATTTTGTAGTTTATTTTGAAACCAGCTCCTAAGGACCCGTTTAGCCATAGATTTTGCCAAAATAAATTTGAGTTTTATTTGGCAAACACATGTTTGGTCATAGATTTTGCCTATATTTCGTTAAAATTCCAAATCCCAAAACCAGCTCAATAGTTGGTTTTGGGCCAAAATATCACTATTACATTTTTTTAAAAATTGCCCCAAATTTTTGTATTTTATCAAAGAGCCCACCATTTGTTATTTTGTAACAATGTTGCTTCGTCTTCTCGGTCATCTGATAGTGTATTATGTAGTGCATTATAAAAATGATAATTTTGTATCAAATTTATTTATGTTTAAAACTATGGTTTGCGATAATATAATGAATGTCATTGATAATTTTACTGTGAGTATTTGTGATAGTTTTTAGAAGGAATTTTTACATCCTATAGCAAAGGTTAACACCCTATTTATTTAAAATAAATACCATTTAAATAAATTATATTCTATAGATATCTTTTATGATTTATAGCAAAATTTTTAATTTTGGTTATCTTGTACACTTAAGCCACTAAGACGCTATGTTTTATTTTCCTCCCTCCATTCTTAGATTTTTCTTTCTCATAGTTACCATTTTTCATACAACTTTTCAATACACGTTCACCCTCTCTCTACTTTGATACAATCTATTTTCTTTCCAATTCCCTGTAAGCACAATCAACACCAGAGAATCCTCCTCACCCACACCACTGCTTCCTCCTTCCCCAATATCGGCGTAAACCCTAATCTCCTCAAGATTTTACTCATTTGTTTTTATAATTAGTGTGATAAGTATTTAATTTTTTTGATTTTCGCTATTTTTGCTTATTCTCAACATCTCTACTTACCAAATTTTCTCTAATCAACAGTACCTAAGCGTATTCTCACAATGTCTGAGAATACACCCCGCAAGTTGATTACTAGAGGTATACCCACAAAAATTCTCAATTTTGACGGGCCATCTTTCTCCTTGCAAATCACTCAAGGGGAATTGGATGCAAGTTTAGCCAAAAATATGGCATTGAAGAAGAGAACAAAATCTCGACATGACAATTTCAAAGAAACCCAAGTCGAGAAATCATTGAAGGAAACAAGACTTCCCATTCCGGCCTGAAGCTTCTTCTGTCAAGGAGAAGGAGGTTGAAGCAAGTAAAAGCTCGGATACACTGGAAGAAAAGGTAATTTCTGATGTATTCATCTGTATTATAAATGTATTCATATGTATTTATATGTATAAACCTGTTGAATTCTCTGTTCAAAAAGGATATTCAATGTATTTTTGTACTTATAGAAAATAATGATACAAATATGTATATGTATTCTTATAGTTGTATTTATAAGGATTTTCAAAGTTCCAATTACTGTTTTATTCTAATTGCAATGTCTTTATTTGTTGTATGCGTATGTATTATATTAGTACATATATTTCTATCACTGATATCTTACTCCAGTTTATTTTCCAGTATGTATTTAGTTGTATTCATATGTATTCATGTCAGTTATACTATGAAATATGTGTTGTATTCAGTTGTATTTATATGTATTTATTCTTGTTAAATGCATGGAATTAAGTTGTTTGTGAAAAAACAGCCTATATTTGCACCTCATATCAGTGTATATACTAACACTGACATAGTCTCCGAGCTAAAAGAAAATCTTACTCCAGAGCAGTACAAACAACTGGGTAATACTTGTTTTGGTAATTTCCTTCAAATGAAGCATTGTGAAGCCCAACATCAACTCTTCAGATGCTTCATGGCTCTCCAGTTAGAAGGAAGTCCTAACAATGTATTTGCAATACACATCACTGGTACTTCCTTATCTTTCTCAATAAGGGAGTTTGCGCTTGTGACTGGCCTCAAATGTGTTGGTAACGATGCTGATTTTGAGTTCAATGAAAAGGTTCCTAACCGGCTTATTGAGACTTACTTTGGAGGTGTCAATCTTGTCAAGAAGAAAGATTTGATGAAATGCTTTGCTGACAAGAACTGGCGACAACGATGGGGATGCCTTGAAGATAGCTGTTTTGTATTTCATACACACCTTCATTTTTTCATCCGAGAAGAACAACACAACCATCCCAAGGCTACATTTTGACTTGGTAGAGAGTGTGCTCTATTCTGAATATCCATGGGGTTTAAAAGCATTTGAAAGCCTGACAAAATCTATTAGCAAGAAGATGGATGCTCAGAAGAAGTACTACATGATAGCTGGGATGCACCTAGCTATGCAAGTGTGGTTTTATGAGTGCTGTTCAAATGTTGATCCCAAAATTGCTCTCCGAGTTGATAACGTGGTCCCCAGAATACTCAATTGGAGAACCACCGGAAATCAGCCAAACTTTGCTTATCTGATGAACGGCATGTTCAATGATAATGGAAACATGGTAATTTACAATTTGTATCGTGGCTAGTTTTCAATTTACTAATCATTAATGCTGGATACAGTTATTGTTGCATACAGCTGCATGCAGTTGAATACAGTTGTTGCTGCATTCATTATTACTGCTGCATACAGTTGCATATAATTTACTAATCATTACTGCTGCCTTCATTTGAATACAAATTACAGTTTGATTCCAGAATTGCATACATCCATTCGTAGTAAGACTTTGATTGTATTTCGTTTTTCAGATTGTTTACAAGGACATCCACCCGACCGATATAGAGCTTGCTGTTATTCAGATTCCTCCAGTAGGCGTTGCTGTTGAGAACAGTCCTACTCCTACTCATTCAGACAAGTCGGCAGAGGATTCAGATGACTTTTCTCCGACACCTGATCTTCAGTGTAAGAAGAAACATGCTGCAAGTGTTGGTCCATCTTCATCACCGCCCCATAAAAAGCGCAAGGAACAGATTATTCATCCCTCAAATATAGAGAATAAATCCAAGATTCCTCCTGTTGGTGTAACTGAAATTGCACAAAATGTTTTACAACACAATAAGCTGGCAGATTCCAAAAATAATGAAGTATCTTCTTTGAGGAAAGATCTAAATTCATTCAAAGAATACGTGAGTTTTTTATCCACGCATTACACATTACTGTTTAGTGCTTAACATTCGTATATTTTTGGCGCACTTTTCTAATTATTTCTGTCTTGCTAAGGTTGTGGGCGAGTTCAAGTCTTTGAGATCATTGATAAATGATAACTTTAAGAAGCTTTCTGACCATCTTCAAGACAATCAACAAAAAGAAAGCTTACACCAGAGAAAGGAAACCACAGGGAGACGTGATGATGGTATTGAAATGCCATATGATGCCAACTTGAAAGATATTCCAAAAGGTCACAGACAGACTGATACAGTTGTCGGGGATAATGTTGAGGTTTAACATTTTTAACATCTTTAGCATATGTTTATATTCCTATTTGCTCTTATTCGGATTAATCTTATATAAACCAATTTTGTAACATTGTGAAATACAATTATATACAGAATAATTCAGTATTTTTAAAAATCTTAATCCTATATGTATTTATATTTTACTAACTTTATTTCTACATAATTATTGTGCTCTTCTCATGTTGTATCTACATGTATTCATATATATATTACAACATGATATTTGTATACATTTAAGCTGTATTTTACTGTATTCAGATGTATTTTAAATGGCATCATTATTCTTAAATAACTGTTGTATTTTACTGTATTCAGATATATTTTAAAAGTTCTTAGTAATTGTAACTAACAGATGTATATCAGTACTATGTATTTAATTGCCTCATTAGTCTTGAATAACAACATATATTTAAATGTATTCAGATGTACTATTCTTGAATCTGTGTGATGTATTTAAATGAGTTTTCACTTATCATATTCAGTTGCTTTATTGTATTTATATGTATTTAACTGTATTCATACAGTCAGTTACTACACTAACAATGATGCATACGTCTAACAGAATATAATGGTTAATGCTCTTTGTGTGGAGTCAAGAGTGGAGGGGAATACTACATCAGAGGTGCCGTGCAACATACCACCTATAGGCCAAGATGGTGCATCTACAGATTACTATGTATCTCAATTTGAGCTGGACGACAAGTTTCTTCCCAGTCAAATTCCAGAAATTAGAATTGTGATACACAACAGTGCAAAAAAAGTTGAATCAACCCCAGTACCATCTCATAGGAATCGTCGACCAAGTAGATGGTATTCTTCGCCTTACGAGTCTAACTTCGACTCCGCAGGTTAGTGTTTTATAAACTAATGATCTATTTCCCTATGGTTTTTATAATTAAAAGTCTCTATTCACGAATTCAATGAACAACAAGTACTTCAATAAAGTTGACCCCCATTTTTGAAAAAAGACACCCCTTTGAGGATGATTCAATAACGGGGCCACATCCTACATTAATCATACATGAATACGACAAATGGGTTTGTGATGGTCTTCTCGCTAGACATGAACATAAGTGAGTTTTTCCCCAGTATGTCTATTACGTATTTATATTTTTAAAAATGGATATAATATTTTTTTATATCATACTTGTAGAAGTAATTTGGAAGATCATTACAAGAAGAACAAGTCAACACTTCATATACCATTGAATTTTGGAGTTGATCAAGTCAATTCAAAAAATTGATTTTACCTTCTATCGTTTGACGATAAACTATGGGATGACAACGTAAGTTTTACCCCTTCCAACTCCACTTAATTCATTTCTTTAGTATTGGTTTTTCTAATTGTATAATTCACAAATTGAGCTCACATAAATTTGTCTTACATTACTTTTATGTATTCAATTGTACTTAGATGTATCTTTTACATGCTGTATTTAATTGTATTCAGATGTATTTTAACATTACTCAGTAGTTGTAAATAACAGATGTATTTAACTGAATCTGTATGATGTATTTAATGTCATCATTATTCTTAAATAAATGCTGTATTTTACTGTATACATATGTATTTTAATGTATTCAGTAATTGTAACTAACAGATGTATATCAGTACTATGTATTTAATTGCCTCATTAGTCTTGAATAACAACATGTATTTAAATGTATTTAGATGTATTTTAACATCACTCTGTAGTTGTAAATAGCAGATGTATTTAACTGAATCTGTATGATGTATTTAATGGCATTATTATTCTTAAATAATTGCTGTATTTTACTGTATTCAGATATATTTTAATATATTCAGATGTCTTGAATCTGGAACTGAGTTTCACTTATCATATACAATTTCTTTTTCTTAATTTGATTCATTGCACTAACACTATGTAATTAAATTTGTGTATAGCATATTGACGTCATATTCTACTATCTGAGAAAGAAGGGAAAATATAACCAAACAAGCAACTTCAAGTATACAATTGTTGATTTTATATTCAAGACAAGAATTGCAGAAATCTTCGACAGGTATGCTGATACAGATAGTAATGCAAATGTAACCAAAGAAGAGGATGTGGTATGTGAGTACATAAGGGGATACAGATTGCTAGCTAATGTACCTTGGCATACTGTTGATAATGTATTGATACCAGTCAACTTGAAGGACAAACTACACTGGATATTGGCTATTGTCTCATTCAAGGAGAGATGCATCAAAGTGTATGACTCATACAGATCTGCAGGTCATGATGCCTATGTAGCTTCTGAGATAGATAAGATAGCTAAGCTTATACGTCTGTATCTATCAATCAGTGGCTTTTACAGAGATAGTGAAGGCATAGATTGGTCTACTTACTCAACATACACTGACAAGTCGCATACTGATCCCTTTGAAGTTGTTTTCATATCAAATCTGCCTCAACAAAAAGTTGCGAGCCTGTCTGTATTCAATCATCATTCTTGTATCATTTTAAAACTCTAATTGTATGAATTATTTTTAATTGTTTCAATCAACATTTTTCAGGGATTGTGGGGTGCATGTTGCGGAATACACAGAGTTTCTGAGCACTCTTGGTGAGATTGCACAAACAACATTTGATTCTAATCTACTCTGTCAAAGATATGGTGCTCTCCTCTGGGACTATGCTATGCGGAAGATAGACGCTGATGCCATAAGTGATAATGAAGCACCCTCCAAGATTGCTAGGCAAATCACGGAGTCAGATTCAAAGTTACAGATAGTGTTAGAGTAGCTCTAGGTGAATGTAGTTTTGGAATGTTGTTTTAGGTGAATACTGTTTTTTAGAATATCTTTTTGACAGAAGATGGTATTCAGTTAGAAAAATCAATGTTTTAATCACTTTATCAACAATGTTCATGTATGACAATTACAACTTTTCAATCTATGTTTCATTGTTTTATTCATAAGTATTCATGCTTAATCTACAATTTCTACTCGTATGTATCTTATAAGATGTATTCATACGTATTAAACAGGGCATATAAATTTGTATTAATATCCAGTCCCTTGGCTTATCAAAGTCATTGAAAGTCAGCAACTGTATGCTTCAGGTTTATCAAAGTCAACTGTAAATGTTGCTGTAAATGTACCTTGGCAACTGTAAATGTTGCTAATACATTGAAATATCAAAGTCAGCAACTGTATGCTTCAGGTTTTTACATATGTACTCAACTTGATGTATTGATTTTACTTACTCAGGTTATATGTATTTATTGAAATTGTTATATTATAGCTGAGTATATAGTTGTATTCCGATGTATTTTGATTAGTTATGTATATACAACACAGGCACTGTCTATAATAAATTGTCTAAGTACATGTTGACAAGGTTGTATTCGAATGTATTCAACACAATAATACAACTAAATGTATCCAAAATCTATTCGCGAAAGGAATTTCAAAATTTATTACTTCACAATGTCATCAAAAGTAATGACAAATCGTTGGAGCACTAATACATGTCAGAGTGTTAACTAAATCTTACGTGGAGCATTTCTACACGTTCGTTTGTTATGTCTTCCTTGCCGACATATGCTATATGAATGTTGATTTTTCGGCTGCAGCAATTCACTGAAAGGTTTATCGCACTTCTTCTTTGGCCTTCCGGAGGTCTTTTCCATTTGGGTGGTAATACAACTTCCTCTGCAACATGTGCTGGTATATTCCAGTCATTTCTGTCCGGTAGCGGGATAACAGGCACATCGTATGTCATTACAACAGAATTTGGTTTGTAATAGTTAGAGCAATAATCTTCTAGCATTAGAAACTTGCTCTTCAGTACAGCCCAAGCATGTATGCATAATAATTCATCAACTTGGAACCTCCCACAAAAGCATTTTCTCTCTAACAGGCAGACAGTGTAATGTCTCTCTCCATAGTTAACCGTATGTAAGTATTCAATCGATAGTACCACCTACATTTAAACATAGACCTATAACTTTTGAGCACATACAAATGAATTTCTTTATGTATAATGCTGAATTATTCAGTTAAATACAACTGAAATGTTTGAATACAGAAGAATACATCATATATGTAGACCGACAGACTATAAACTATAATTACGTCTTAGCTTATGAATACAATAACATACATCAAACATCTGCTTAACCTTAGGCAGTTGAAAAGAAAATACATCTAAATACATTTAAATACATGTTGCTATTCAAGACTAATGAGGCAATTAGATACATAGTACTGATATGCATCTGTTTGTTGCAATTACTGAGAACTTTTAAAATACATCTGAATACAGTAAAATACAACAGTTATTTGCAAGGATAATGATGCCATTAAAATATCATTATAAGTCTACTGCATGACAATACAACTGAATACGTCTATCTAAAAAATTCTGTATAAGTTATTTCAGAAAACAATTAAGCTATCTAAAAAAATAGCTTAATATGTGATACAATGACATTAAAATGAAACTTACAGTCACGCGTGTAGACATTGCCTCATTCAAAGTCAACATCTCCTGGTATTTTTTTTCCAAGCGTTGTGCATGTCTGTGTAGCTTATTTGCGGTTACTGCAATTCCAACGTCCAAACATCTTCCTAACTTCTTCGAGGAAGTCGTATATTGGAAATTCTCTTGCTGACACTAGTGCTGCATTGATTGACTCAGCAATATTTGACGTCATGGTCCATCCCCTGTTAACAGGTGCATACAACCTAGCCCACTTTTCGTATCCAACTAACTCCAAGTATTCTTTCACCCTAATATCTACCTTCTCCATCTTCTCCATCAGACTGTCAAATTCAGCTTGTGTGTATGCTTTCGCCATCGAGAAGTATATCTCGCTCAACTTTACATGGCTCTTTTTGAATTTCTTATATACGTTGTTCCATAGATGCCATATACAGGCAAAATGTGGTACATGTGGATATACTCTCGATACAGATTTAATGATACTCTCATTTCTATTTGAAACGATGCACATGTTTTTCCTGTCACCGTATGCTATCTTGAATTGCTCAAAGAACCACGTCCAAACAGCATCGTTCTCTGAATCAATAACACCATATGCTAGTGGCAATATATGACCTGTAAAGACAATTGAATACTTATTTTTAAAACATGTATTTCAATCTTTAAAATATTAACAAAATTTATTATAATTCACGTACTCACCTGCACCATCCAACGTGCTTGCCGAGATAAATGTCCCGGTGTAGTAAGATTTTACGTGACTTCCATCCACAACCACATGGGTCTACAATGATCAAACCCCTTTACAAAGGCATACAAAGATATATACACATACATGAACTCATTTTTGGGCATTTTACCATTCTGATGTGCGAAGATGGATATGTTATATCCATTGTATATAAGTATCCTGATAATTTTTTGTATGAATCAACCGGTTCACCTCTCAAAAAATTTATTGCCTTTTCTTTAGCCCGCCACGCCAACATGTAGCTAATATCTACACCTAAATCTGATTTCACATCATCAATAATATCCTTTGGGGTGTATTTCCTCTTATGATTAGTAAGCTTAGGCCTAATCATACCACCTATAAGGCTGCTACTTGCCTGTCGCTGCTCATGCACCTTGTCCTTAAACGGACATGTATGGTTATCAATGAACTCTCTCACTTTGAATAGTTCTGATTTGTTAATGCTCGAAGCCTTAAACCTCCATTCACAATCTTCTGACATACATAATAATGCATAGCTGCAAAGAATCTATCATTATACGTATGATTAGCATAAATGTTTACCAAAAAATGTACTCATATACACATGAATACATTCTGACATCTATATATAAAAATTATTATACAATTGAATACAATTATAGTTATATGCATTTAAATATAATGAATACAATTATAGTTATATGCATACAATTAAATACAAAACAGTAAACAAAATAGGAAAATAAACAAACAGATGTTAAACACATCAATGAAGATTAAGTGAAAATCCACAAATATGCATAAATACATCAATGTATAACTTACAACTCCAACCAATAATACAATATACTAAAAAAATTAAATACACTAAAACCTGACAGTGTTAGACCTATCAACCCGGAATTGAAACCTTTGAGATATAGCATAATTCTCCATCACCTCTTTCAATGTAGCCTTATCCTTATATACTTGTCTAGCCATAACCTTCCTTTGATTAGTTTTTGAAATTATCAAATCCTTGTCCAGTTCGAACACCCCAATTGCTTGTCCTGAATTGACAAAATCTAGAGCAAGTTTATCATCTGTATCGGAATCATACCTTTAAACTGCTTCGTCTATTTGCACAATGTCGCCTTGATTTAAACTACCTCCGGATACAAGTTCTTTTTCAATAGTTGTTATGCACAAAGGATACATCTCA